TTTCCTTTTCCTTTATTATTCTTTTTTGTTCCTCTTCTTTTTTCTCTTTCTGTTTTTTGTTTTTCTTCTTGGATTTGTTCGAAATACAATAAGAATTAAAAATTAAAAATAAAAAAGCTCAAAATATATATATATATACCTCCTATTCATTTCATTACTATATACATTAAAAATAAAAATTAAAAAAAATTTATACTGTTATAATTTATTCTAAAATTCATGTTGACTTGTTAAATTTAAAGAATTGTAATTGCAAAATTTGGTGAAGATGATTATCGCCGTGCTCGAATTGAATCTTATTCGTCATCATCACAAATGTATACAGTTTATTTTTTTGATTATGGAAATATAGTTCAAAATGTTCCACTTGATCACATATATTCTTCTTCAAATGATTTAGATCAAATAGAAGCACAAGCACATCGTTTTTTATTAGGTAATATTAAAAAGAGTACATGGGATACTACTGTTCGACCATTAATTGTACAAGAAAAATTAAATAATACTATTGAATTATGTTTTCTTGATAAAAATAATTCAGTTATACATATTAAATTTGATAATGAAAATAATATTTATATTTTAAATGAAAATGAAAATAATCAACAAAATAAATTAACAACAAAGGAAGAAAATAAATTATCAACAAATGAACAAACAAAAACTTTTAAAGCAAATATATCAGGAGTGGATAAGAATTATTTTTATATTCATATATTTCCTGATGATATTTTACATATTTATGAATTACAAGAAATTTTACAAACACGTGATAAACAACATAAAACAACAGATAAATGGTCAATTAATGATTTATGTATTGTTTTAAATGATCAAAATACATATTATCGTGGTCAAATTCTTTCAATTGATGATAATAAATATGATGTTAAATGTATTGATTATGGAAATATTTTAGAAAATCTAACTTATGATCATTTATATGTATTACCTAATGAAGAAATTTTTAAACAATCATCATTAGCACATCAATGTCGATTATGTGGTTTTGATGATATAAATCAATCGAAAGCAATTGAAGAAGTTATTAAAAATATTCAATCAACCGAAGATGTAAAAATTACTATTGAAAATGATCGCAATGATCAATGTTTAGTTGTAATTCTTGCTAGAGAAAATAACAAAATTGTTAATGATCAATATCAATCTGGCAATAATAATAATAATCAAGAGAACGATAAGGTATGAAGTTATTTTATTTATCACAAATTATTGAATAATATTCATTAATAAATCTTTTCATCATTTTCTATTTAGCACGAATCAGATAACGACAAGAAAACAATTGATTCTGATGAAAATCATCCATCAACAACACAACCCAGGTCAAACGATACGGTACGTAAACGACCGTTTACGGTTACCTTACGACGCATAAACGGACCGTATACGGCCGTAATATCGGGCACAGAAATACGGCCCTATCATAATGAGATTACGCCCCGTATACTGTGAAAATACGGCCTCGTATACGGTGCCGTATTACTGTGCCCATGATTACGAGAAAATACGGTCCGTTTACGGTGCCGTATGAAGCAAATTACGGTGAAACTACGAATAGCCGTATCCACAGACCTGGGAAGCAACAAAAAAGATAAAAATATGTAATTCAACATCATCGAGTTAATTCTTTTTCTAAAATCATATATAACTTTCTGTGATTTTTTTTCTTTTAAAAAAACTGTAATTACTGTAGTTCATCATGTAGTTAAAAAAGCTTATAACAGTTCATAAAAATTTTTTTTTCACTTTTCCTTAACTGTAATAAATTTTGGTTGAAAGTTCCATGAATGTCAGATGTCTTTGTTCTTTCTCTCTTAAAAAAACGCTTAGTTTTTAACTGTCTACAGATGTGTATGAATTTGTTAATTTTCTTTATTTGAGAAACAATAAAATAGAAAAAAATTTATGTAACATAACAATGAATAATAAAGTCTTTGTTATTTATATATATGAGAAGATGCATACATATTGAAAGCTTTGAAATATCTCGCTTTTTTACTTGTCTAACGCATTCTTTGAAGGTTTCATGTTCAATGGAAAATTATTGAAGAGACAAATAAGTTCATAGGTAAATAAATTGAAGAGTTTAATAATTAGAATTTTCTATGAAATATATAAAATGTTTTGATTGGATTCTTAACGAAGAATATCATGGGAAGTTTAATATTTTTCTTAATAATATGATTTAAGGAACTGTTGGTTGATAGTGAATTTTTGGTGCTCAAAATCCTCGGATACAAGCATGTATTTTTCGTATTCCATCGCGAATACCGAAACAACTGATTTTCTCAGCAATGGATCAACAATTCTCAAAACCGATATGTAATTTTTTCTGATGAATACATTGATTATAGTCCACTAGAAATAACATTTTTATCACATAAATCGAATAATTTGATAGTTTTATAAGATGCATATAAAGCCTTTCCATAGTTTTACTCGTGTTCTATAAATATGAAACGCATTATAGCCAACTAAAATGATTGATTTTATATTTTTCGCTCAGTTTTTTTACATGGAAAATTAGAAAAAAAATCAGCTGTGAAATTTCATATTGGCAATGAACGTAAGCATTTGACCTATTAATATAAAATGCACCTATTTTTGGACTTTTTCAAAAAACCTTTGTATGGAAACTTTTGTAGAAAAGTGACTTCTTGAATTTTTGTATCAATTTTTTCTTATCTAGTTTGATTGGCGCTATTCAACCATATGAAAAATCAAATGTGAAAATCTACTTAAATATTGAATTTCCTGCACCTTATCAAAACATGAAAGATTGTACGACATAAAAATAAAGTCAGCATGACATAAAAAATTCTGTGTAGAACATCTTGTAAGAACGTAGAGTATCATATGCACCAGAAAAAAAAGTTTATTATGTCTTTAATAATGCACGATTAGCAGATGCAATTAGCAAGAAACTAATTTTAACGAACTGATTATATTTATCTGTTCTACTAACTCAGATATTTAGAGCAACTTATTGTGTAATATTTATGATGACAGTCAATTAATAGTGACTTCATCCTTGATATAGTAAGAAAACCTCAGAGATTGGTACTATAAAATAAACAAGTCGAACTGTAGTAACTCTTAAAAAATTGAATGAATGACGACGAGATAGAGAGGAGAATTCTTCTCTTATGCTATAATGCAAATTAATGTTTATGTCACAACTCAGACAGAAACAACAGGCAGGATCAAATACGAAAACTTATCCTAACTATCTACAAATTTCAATGATCAGAGAAAACCTCAGTTATTGAATTATTCTAAATTAGCTTTAACATTCTTAGCAGCTGTTATCGTTTTCAAAAAACAATAGATGTGACTGTTTTTTGAATAACTTGAGAACACAAGCACCTAGAGACCGACGGCTTTCACTAATCGAAAGAGGAAACAGGAGGGGGTGTCTTTTTCTCCAATAATGTGTGAGAGGAAATCCTTTTACAGCTAATTATTTTTGAAAAACATGTAAAAGAAGACGTGAAAATGATCTGCCATCTAGATGAAATTTTGATTTTGACCTTTGATTTAGATAGAAGGACTTCAAATCTATAGTTCAACATAAAATACAAATCGCTTCTCTTATTTCATTCTAATATTGAGCAAATTCAATCATGTATTTATATGCGCAAATAAAAGGGATTTTTGCTAATTTTTTACTAAGTATTCTCACTTTTTATCATAATAGCTTGATATTTCGATGGAAATGTAATGAAAAGTAAGGAAGCGAATTATATCTTGAATTATAGATTTGAAGTTCCTCTATCTAAATCAAAGGTCAAAATCAAAATCAAAATTTCATCTAGATGGCAGATCATTTTCATGCCTTATTTAACATGTTTTTCAAAAATAATTAGTCGTAAAAGGATTCCATCTCATACATTATTGGAGAAAAAAATATCCCCGGTCTCCACTTTCGATTAGTAAAAACCACAGGCCTCTAGCTGCTTGCGTTCCCAAATTATTCGAAAACCAGCCACGCCTATTACTTTTTGAAAAAGATAATAGTATACGTATTTTACTTCATGAAAAATTGAGCTAGAAATATCTAGTTTATTCGTCAAGCTCACTTATTCGGACCATCTCTAATTATCTTACTCTAGATTTACAATTTTACAAATGATTATGAGATTAAACTGAAACATATATATATATATATATGTGGCCTTTCACACATATGTCATCCACGGACATTCATCTACTTTTAGCATCCATATCTCATTCACCGATGCCAATGACTTATCGACCCGAGCAGAAACAAACTTAGAACTCTCAAAAAAACCAGTAGTGTCAAACTTGAAACTTGAATTCAATTGAAATTTCAAGTTTCAAGTTTCAAATTTCACGTTTCCATCCTTTCAAGGCACCCACACCCTGCGATGTGATGTGCATCATTCCGTGGCCAGTCGTTTCGCGGCACCCACACCAGTTGCGACGTGATGTGTGTCGTCCCGTGGCCAGTTCTTTCTGGGCACCCACACCAACTGCGATGTGATATGTGTTGCTTCGTCCACAGTCATTTCGAGGCATCCACACTTTGCGATGTGATGTGTGTCGTTTCGTGACAAGTCCTTTCACCACACCCACACCAGCTGCGATGATGTATGTGTGAGAATGTGGATTAGTGGTCATTCTTCAAAGTGCTGCGCATTTGAGCCTTGAAAGTTGAAACTTGAAAGTTGAAATTTCAATTGAATTCAATCTTCAAGTTTGACATATATGAAAGTAAAGGGAAACAACCGGAAGAAATATTATTACATAGTTGACTATTGTCGTTGGACGTTGCACCAGAGGTCTCAATGGGCTGGGCCAAACCCGGCCCGGCCCAGCCCATCCAGCCCATGGGCCGAAATTGTAAAAGGTACCCATGGGCCGAAATGGGCCGAATTTAAAATAAAACGAAAATTATCAAAACTTCTTTCTCAAAGTAAAACTGAAATATTTTTTGCGAATGATCATCGGATAAAAGCATAATCGTAACTGAAAATCAGACATGTAAAAGTTCTTCATTAATTATCCATGTGATTCTTTATATGTAATTAGTTGCTTTTAAAGCTCTCCTATATATGAGTTAACAGAGTGGCACCTAACTTTTGTGACTGTCTTCATTTTAGTTATATCGCAGCTAAGTTATTTTAGTTTCTCGTTTTTGCACACTATTTGCGACGAGCAGAACATTTTTTGGAAGATTGGAACAAACTGGTATTAGTACCAGCTTGATACTTTCACCTAACGTTTCAATTAAAAATTTCAGATTTTCCGTTTTTGAGT